CAGTGACAAGGTGATGATTCCCCAGGACGAGTATCCCGAAATCAACTTTGTGGGCCTGCTGATCGGACCACGGTAAGAACAGGTTAAGGGCGGTGGTTAAGTGGATCGTTCGGACCTTGGCTTTGTTAGCTGGGTTTCTCTCAGCCAGCTGTTTTGTTTCCCACAACTTAAACCCTAGTATGAGACGTTCCCGTCAGGGACCACTTCCTGCCTTTTGTCTCTTAGGAGCTCATCTCGTGACCCTGAAAATTTGTTTCATAGAGACAGAGTAGCTCTCGCGTCCCACACGACAGCTGTGGGATGGTTAAAGCCTGTGCTGTTTCAGACTGTACCCCAGCTTGAACTTGAACTTTATTGCCATATGTAACCGGTACTGGTACCGGTACTGGAATTCTTACTCACAGAAAGTCTCTCGATTGTAAAACAAGTGTAAAAAACAAGACAAAGTGCAAACAGTGCATCAAGACAGTGTACAAACAAACAATAGACAATGTGCAAGTAATAACGTAGCTCCTGCTATGACTGTGGTTCTCAAAGTATCTTACTCGTGCTCGTTGTCCTGCAGAGGCAACACCCTGAAGAACATCGAGAAGGAGTGCAGTGCCAAGATCATGATCCGGGGGAAGGGCTCGGTGAAGGAGGGCAAGGTGGGCCGCAAGGATGGCCAGATGCTGCCCGGGGAGGACGAGCCGTTGCACGCCCTGGTCACCGCCAACACCATGGAGAACGTCAAGAAGGCCGTCGAGCAGGTGGGCGGCGCCGACACTCGGGGCTTTCCTCCGTTTGAATTCGAGGTGCTTCAGACACCCCGTGATTCATATCACTCGCCATGGGTGCTTCGGGATCATCTTGGGGAAAACGCCTTTTTAAAAAAATGTAGGCGTTGACGCCAAGTTGAAAAGGTTTTTTTTTTTTTCTGGGGTGGGCTTGAACCTCGGATGTGTCCCCGCGAGCCGACGGTGGTGACCCCGTTCACACCCCCCTCCTCCTCCTCCTCCTGCGTTTCAGATCCGCAACATCCTCAAGCAAGGCATCGAGACCCCCGAGGACCAGAACGACCTGCGCAAGATGCAGCTGAGGGAGCTGGCGAGACTCAACGGCACCCTGCGGGAGGACGACAACCGGTACCTATCCCCCCCCCCCCCCCCGTTTTCTCACACGAAGTCGTGAGGCAGAGGGTTACACACCGGTGGCTTGCCGGAGCTTATAGATCGGTTCTTCCATTCTCATCACATTCGGGGGACACAGGGGGAGTCCCGTCGAGCAGCGGGCTCAGGGCAGGGTACACCCTGGGTGGGACGGCAGTCCATTACAGGCCAGACACACACACACACACACACACACACACACACTTGCACCAGGGCCAGCTTTCCCAGAAGCCAGTTAAGCTCCCAGCATGTTTCTGGACTGTGGGAGCACCCGGAGGAGACCCACACGAGCACAGGGAGAACGTACACGCTCCATGCAGACAGCACCCCAGGTCTGGCATCGAAGCCCGTGCCGCGAGGCAGCAGTGCCCACCACTGTGCTGCCCAGTTGAGGATCTGTTGTCTGTCCTGAGTGGTCAATACCCAGAATCTTTGTGCTTTCATGCAAAAATAATGATAGTTGTATTGTGATGGACAGCACACGTTTCAAGATGCCCTTCTGAGGTTGTAAAACGCTCTCACGAAGAGCGGCGTTGAGCCAGGAGTCCTGCTGGGGGCTGGCATGCGGAAGGTGACCGGTCTTGTTTTGCAGGATCCTGAGGCCGTGGCAGAGCTCGGAGCCGCGCAGCATCACCAACACGACGGTCTGCACCAAGTGTGGTGGCGCAGGGCACATCTCCTCTGACTGCAAGTTCACCAGGTAGGTCCTGGGGCCCCGTCGTCAGGAAGCTACCTCGGGTTTATCATCGTGTCTGTTTTAGTGCTCGAAAGGCCAACGTAACTGTCACGGCAGGTGTACTTGCTAAGTGACACACCTGTGGACTCGCTGGGATTAAATACTGGGAATCTCCTATGTCAGGCCTTTTATAAGAACGGCCTAAACAGACACTGGGGTGTGTATTGCAGGGGGAGTTGGAATACGTGTAATACCATCCCAGTTTTCAGGCAGGAGAGCTCTCCTCTGACGCTGAATGCAGTGGACTTAGTGATATAGATACTGATGACTGTAGATAATAGGGTGTAGTAGTTTTGTCCCAGAGCAACCCAGTTTCCACCAGCGTGCCAGGTTCTCTGTGGCGCCTGGTCTAACCTGTGAGCAGCTCTTTCGCCTCCAGGCCGGGGGAGCCGCAGTCGGCCCAGGACAAGGCCCGGATGGACAAGGAGTACCTGTCCCTGATGGCGGAGCTGGGCGAAGCTCCCGTTCCGTCCTCTTCGGGCGGCCACTCCAACGCCCCGCACCACGGCGGCCATCGGGGCTCGGGCCCCGGCGGCAACCAGCCCCAGCAGGTGAGCCCGTGCGCCTCGGCCACCCGTGACTGGACGGTGCTCTTCCTCTCCGCTACTTCCTGGTGCTTGCTGGCGTTGCTGAAATCTTCGTAGTTGCAGATCTATTTTTGAGGGTTTTTCCTTGTGAAATTTGACATTATTTTTGGTTTTGTTTTTTGAGAAGAACCGGCCGCCCTGGATGAACTCCGGCCCGTCTGAGAACAGGCACTTTCCCAGCATGCATGGCGGCCATGGCGGCCACGGCGGCCCGGGAGGGCATCACAACTTCCCGCCGCCGATGGGAATGGGCGGCCCACCCATGCCGCCCAACCCCAACGGGCCCCCTCCTCCTTGGATGCAGCCCCCCCCTCCTCCGATGAACCAGGGTCCTGGGCCACACGGACACCCCCATATGGGTGAGACTTCTTGGGGTAATGAAACTGGATTCTGTGAGCGCTATGCGGTGTGGTACCTCAGAAAGAAGCTTTAGGCCTGTCGCCCCCATGTGTGAAAAGTCTGAAAACTAACGTGGTGGTCGGGTTGGCTTTGCACGGTTATTCTCCCAGCAAGGAAGGTCGAGCGAGCTCCTTCGATACCGGTTATTCTTTCCCTGTTTTTGATTACACTGAAAGGAGGTGGGGCTATACCTGCCCCAGGTCAAAGGGGAACTGCAAGGGTAAAAGGATTAGCAGTGATGTGCGCGTTTCAAGCCACAAGAACGGTAAAATCTACACCGTAACGGGTAAAACCTCCCATTTGCGAAACGCAGGAAGTTTCCAGGTCCGCTCAGCGCCATGTTCTGGGATTCAGGTGTCCGGCCCTGCGACACTGTGAACAAGCAGGCTTGTGAGTCCAGCTCTTCTAATCCAGTAGAAATACCGCTCTCCTCTCCCAGAAAGTTTCACTGACGAATACTGCTCACTGGTTAACTCTGCCTGCGGATCACGCTGGGACATTTCTGCGGTGAAATGTCTGCTGCACAACCTGTACTTATCCGCTCGTACATCTCAGTGCATTACAGTGAGCAGGAAGGGCTGCTTCACGTCGCAGTTCGTGCGAACTCTCGGGAGCATGGCAACTTGCAGTACTTTCACAGAGCTCAGGGATTTCAGATGCGTTCCGAGATGGAAGAATTTTAAAATAACTGGCCTGTGAATTTAGGACTACAGCCCCGCCTCTCGCTGTGCAGACGGCCCGGACTTGGCGCATCCCAGTAAGGATTCCGAGGGGATGCAGGAAGGCCCTGCCAGCTCCTCTGAGCCTTCTGAGCTCCTAAAGACGGTTCTCTCTCTCCTCTGCCCTCTAGGCCTGCTGCCGCCTCCAATGGGTCTGATGCCCCCTCCTCCACCTCCCAATAGCCAGCCGCCGCCGCCGCCTTCAGCGCCGCTCCCTCCGTGGCAGCAGCAAGCCCCCCCTCCGCCTCCGACCAGCAGCATGGCCACCAGCGCACCGCTGCCATGGCAACAGAGTAAGTCCCCCACCCCCCCCTTTGGTGCAGCCAGCCTGCCTCGTTCGCCCCAGCCAGGCGGTTCTCGGGTGGCAGGGCTCTCAGGGATTGAGTTGGAGAAGCCGGCGTGGTGGCCGTCGGCTTCTGGTTCAAAGAGCTTTCAGCTCCTTATGGTATTTTTTGTCCTCAATTTTTCAAAGTCCGTACTGTGTGCTCCTTATTGGAAGTGACTGTAGCAGTTGACCTTCTAGTACAGTCAAGCAGAACTGGCATATTCATGATCACCGAAGAGACTCGATTATTTAAAGCCTTAAATACATCAGACTTGGTACTAGATTGGCGAGTCTCTCTGTTTTCCTCATGCTTGACCATCGATCCTTGTTTTCCGCTCTGTAGACACCATCACCACCTCTTCTCCGGGCTCTGGAAACCTGCCCCCTTGGCAGCAGCAGCAGCAACAGCAACAACA